AAGCAAACATGTTATGGCGATCCTTGAGACCAGTCCAATTTCAATGCGGGGAGGAGAGCCAGACCCGGCACGCCAGACAAACGCCATGATGCCCACGACGTACAGGATCATGGACCTGTGTAGTTGTAACATCATATTACAATTAATATGAATATGAATGATAACATACGCACCAGGAGAGCCAAGTGACGGGCATAGCGAGCAGCACCCATGTGTTCCAGAAAATGTGATTGCCTGTCCGTTCTCCCTCCTGTCAGTAAAATGAGTGAGTATGCAACGCGGCTCGTAAATCAGATGGAAATGGTACAACCTTTGCCCACTGAATCGCCTTATGAACCCTCCGCATAGAGTAAAACCGGACGGTGTACACACACCCGTAGATGAGGCTCATCAGTGAGCAGATCAAGGACATCAGGATTGACGTTCGTGTCAGGACATCGGATAAAGCCTCGCCAATCTGTAAAGTGCCAATGATAGTCCTATTATTCGCAACTCATTGTCTCAGAAAAAATCATCGCGAAAACAAGGGGCTCACGATAGGAGCAAAATGCTAACGAGGTTTGTGGTTTTCCATTCCCGAATTGACAAATCCACAAAGGCCTCCCACAGCGTCATGAGATTCCTGATCTCTGGTTCTTCAGATCGCACAAAGTATGCTGCAGGGCTGAGTGGTTGATTACGCGACTCCAGTCGCGCCTGATCGTCAGCTAACCTCGCTATGATCTTTCCCATGAGTTCATCCGCGCTCAACCTCACTTCCTTGAAGATTCGCTGAACACGATGTCGATAGAACACAGGAATCCCGAGAAATGTGACGTGATATAGCTTTCGCAGGGCAGTGAAAACAATATACAGAAAATTCCTTTTGAGTGACACCCAGGAGTTTCGACCTATGGGAAGGCATCCGGGAGACTGTTTTTCTGGGATTGTTGGAGACTGATACATGGGAAGTATTGCGTTGTGCACATCAGCGCTGAAGAATGTGCCACCTGGGATCTGTAATGCGGTTCCTGACTCGGTAGGCGCCTCCAAGTGCCGGGGTGTTTCGATGACGGATCTTGCGATGGATGTGCTACGTAGAGAGCTTCCCACAGACTGATTGACTACTTGTGATGAGATCGTGGAGAGCCGAGGGTGCAGTGTCGTTGGTTCCTGGCAGTAGCTCTCTGAAGATTATGTCGGTATAAAAATACTCTTGACGAGCATGTAGATTCTCACCCGCGCTAGTTGCCACTGAGCTTCGCTTATCTTGTGACGATAGAAAATTATTTTCGGTCGTGCATAGCACAGCTTGGGATTGCAGCCAATGAGAATGTTTCACTTTTCCGGCCGACATGTTAGACTAGCCCACCAGGACGTCGTTCAGGCTCTTCAACGCTACTCTTTCCGGAGTGAGGTGTGAAGGAAGAGGCAACAACAGGGGAAGCTTCCATGGAATGCTGATTAGCTGCTAACAGCCTCAGCGCTTATAACAACTTTCAGGAGCCGAAGGTATCGGAATATCATTCGAAGCAATCGTATAAGGCGCTTTTTCGAAGTTTGATGCAGGTCATATGTCACTGGAGAGTTTTATAAAAAGAAAAAGTGGGAGTTTGCAGCCCGTTAAGCCACAGCAGTTACTAATCTGAAGCGTTAATGATGCGAATAAGCACATACAGAGGTTCAGTGAATGGTCCGGGACCACAATTGCAGCAATATACCTGAACCTGAACAGACAAGAGTTTTAACTGGGTGGGCACTTGAGGGGACTTTCATATATCTTACTGCAGTACTCGGCTCGCTGGATTCAAGTTTTGTGTTGCGCATAGGTTCTGTGATGGCTGATGCAGATTACTGCAGATGACAGTTTGGGGTTACGCGATGTTGGCGCATTGATCGGCCTATCTACTCTTGTTTGCGCGATCTTTCTAAGCCCAACGTCAAATGGACCTATATGTATACAGCCAACAACATGGTTACAGAGAGAAAAACCAGCAAGACAGATAATTCATTTCTTCTAATATAAACCCCAAGCATCTATACCTGGATTTTCAGCCAACCTACACACTGTACATCCGCCTTCAAAGATTTAGAATGTCATGTATGTATCGCTTTGACCTCCGATTCTTCTTAGGACAAAATTTGCAGCTGCACTTCCATATTTTGTGACGTATGCGAGGCGAGTAAGAGTATTGAGGAACGGGTCGCCAATGTCACAAATTTAGTTAAGTTGAGAGGCGAAGCCTTCCAGCGCTCCAGGTGAATGCGGGAACAAGCATTCAGGAGGACCGCCGTGCCTAGGATTGTGAAATTGAAAGCGATGTCTCTAACTCGCACGAATCGATGTACCACCCTCTTGGAACGATTCGCCAATACCGAGCCCTGGGCCCCCATCAAGATGGCTGCAGCAAGTATGTAATAGACAATCGAATCAGTTATGAGAATTTTGCTCAATTTCTTGAGGTCACCATTCGCGGTTCCAGCTTTCGCAGCAAGAACGTCTCTTGTAACATGGGTGCCTTGGCTATATCCCGTTAACCTGATTGTTGTCGAAATGTCTTGGCTGCAGGTCATAGGGGTCCGATGGTCTTGACTCTTTACAAGTGGGGACGTACAGAGACCAATGGGCTGACTGCCCTGAAGGCTCTTATTGGACACGGCAGAACTCTGTAGCGAGCTCGGCAAACAAAACGCAATGTAACTTCATTCGATGGGACTCGTATGGGAGACTCCTTTGCACTTTATTCGGATCATGGTAAGTATATACTGGTGTTGAAGCACTGTCAAAATAAATTTAATCTGAATTGGTTCTAAGCCGACTCATTACAATTGTTCAACAGTGATAGTCATATATCATACATTCCCAGATGTACAAAAGGCAACGCCGCCGCAGCTGATATACGAACCATCAGCCGCATGACTACCCATTTCCCAAAGTTCAACGCCACGTACGCGCACGATGGCGTCAGATCCAAGCATTATTGGAACTGGAGGAGGGTCGCGAGAGCGTAACGTTACAGGAGCGGAGTCTTCCGAGAATGGCGAAGGGTTGAGTACTCGCAGCGCCCTATGTTGTAGGACATCAGAGTAGCAAAAAGGCTGACGTCGATTTCGGGACGGGCGTCGCTTCGAAGTGTTCAAAACTGTACAATGGAGCTAAAATAAAAGTTAGATAATTGCGCTAAAAGGGAAAAGATGAAATTCAACAGGAACGTCGGTAACGAGCGGCGAAGAGGGTCAGAAGAATGATGAAAGGAACCGACCTTTAGCGCTCTGGTCTCAGTGATATACCCCTCTGCCTTGAAGGCTCCGTGCACGAGATCTAATAACTATCAGTCAAGCAAAGTAATGGCAGGAGATTGAACTCACCATAAATCTGGCGTAGAGCGGGTGTCTCCTTGGGTGCCAGATATAGGTGATCTGCCCATATCTCTCTTTTCTCGGGTATGGTCTGAGAAAGAGAATCACGTTGATCAGATGAAGCTTGTATTGTTGAGTCCGAAATCGAGGTCGTCGAGGCTTGCGCTGGGGTTGATTTGGGTAACTTCTTCGGTGCCTTGACAGGGCGTAAGATGTCTAGTGCATCCAGTTCAACTGCGAGCTCATATGAAGTATCGATAGGCGATGATTTCGCGACCTTGTGCGCTGGCAATGAGGCATTTTCATAATCGAGCCGGGAATCATCTTTCGCACTAATAATCGAGCCGATTTGAGGTTTCAGTGAGCGGAGCAGCTCCAAAGCCATTTCCACCGTGCGCCGTCGAGCCATATGCTTAGAGTGTGAGGAAGAGCCTTCCGGCGTTTCCTGCTTCTGCACATCAACTACAGGACCGGGTGGCGAGGTATCTGCTGGATTTGGATGCGATTCTGGCTCTGGCTCTGCATCTAGCGCCATAACACCGAGTGTCAGGTGGAATCGGATGGGTGCGATGACAATAGACGGATCAAGTCCTCGAGCGGGGACGTTAGATCCATCGGAAATTGGTGGAACAGGCGCAAGAAGTGCGTCTTGGAACGCGGAAATTTGAGAGTGCAGAGCAGTATTTGTGTGCTGCGAATTGTGGGCATGAGCCGTCAAGAATGATCGGTCGGCGGCTTACAAGGGGTATTGCAAGAACTGTTAGATCAGCGCATGTCAGAATAGATTGAAAAATGAGATAAATACGGAAAGACAAGTTCAATTATCCGTTCTGTTTAAGGAATGGTGGGAAAAGAACACATTCTCCAGGATGATGAAATGCCGACCCCAAAGTACGACTCACAATGTGTTGGGCGAGGAGAGGCAACCTTCGAAGTTTTTTTAACAGCCGGCACAGGATGAGTGGATATAGTCTTCACACACGAATCCATGTTTCGTGGAGCTATCTGGGTGTGAGTCTGAAACGTCCGGATGTGCTTAAACATCCACACCCTCAAACGGCAAGAACCGGCGCCTTCAAAGTGCCTGAATTGTGTTGACGCTGGAGAAAGATGGAAAGACGTACAGAGATCCTGTAGTCACTCCTCACTACTTACGGAGATTGTAGTTGGCAATTTGCAATAATGGAATGAAGCCGTGACAAGTGCTGGAATGACGTTTTTCCAAGAACGGACTATGTGGACTTGTTTGTTCAATGATTTTCCCTGCAAGAACTTGCACGACAATCGCCACCAAGACACTTTTGCCCAGCACCTTTCTGTGTTATATCTGCATCAAGTCCGCGTCTGAAACTGCCATATCCGACAAATATGAAGGACATAAAGGATATCCACCTTTTGATGGAGTTCAATTAGGCAACCCATGCGGCAGTCAATTTGATTTTAGATATGCGCCAAGACACGTACCATCTTCGTGAACGTATCTGTGACTCGGATGACACCTATGGACATTTCCCTGCTGTCCTGCCTGGGAGGGAATACATACGTCTTTCAGAAGCTGAAAGAGCAATAACGCAATGACTCCGATGCCAATGGGCGTACCTTGTTCATACCTCCGTTCATAGCTCCGTTCAAATTATGGTCATTATCGTTGGTCGGTCGTTGGTGACATGGCCGAGCGGTCTAAGGCGCCAGAATCAGGCATGAGTCATTTCGACGTTCTCAGTCTTTATCTGGTCTTTCGGGGCGGGAGTTCGAATCTCCCTGTCATCAATTGTTCTTTTCTCTCGTTTAATGAATGAATAAATAGCGTTTTCCCCAGAACATTATCTTTCACCACCTCCAGCTGATCAATCTTGCCCAGCCTCACTACAAGAGTTTCAGAACCCGATTGGACAATGCCCCAGGACATGGATTCGTACTTGCCTCAGATGTTGAAACCTTTTAACCGCTCAAGGAGTCGGTAGTGCTGAGGATGCCATTATAACGTACGTTGACAGCTGAAGCTGGTTTCATTTGCTGAAATATAAGCTGATGTTGATCGATGGTCTTTGAATCAAACATTGGCACACTGCCGTATCCATTGTATTGTTCTGGTGTATTCCACGATATTGTAATAATACGATATAGAAAGATGAGCTAGACTTTTAACCCGATATAATCTATATTTTGCGTCCGCTCGGAGACTCGACACGGATGCTGCCATCGAAAGACTTTTGGATCGTGATGTTCCTTCGAGCCGCCGCCTCGCGTATTTTCTCCCGCCACGCAGTATCCATGCAATCACCGTAGTTATTCAGCGTGATCATGATCAATATAAAATACCCCACCCCAACAGCCAATAAACAGGTTATGGCAATTCTCGACGCCAGACCAAAGTTGACGGGATGTTGAGGTGTATTGGATCCAGTTCTCCAGACAAATGCCATGATGCCGACAATGTACAGTATCAAAGACCTCAATCAAACAAAATAAATCACTGTTGTACAAGATCTCCAGGTTGTCTTACGTACCAGGATAGCCAAGTTACAGGCATAGCAAGCAACACCCACGGATTCCAAAAACTATCGTTCCGTGTTCGATGGCCCTCCTGAATATAGATCCAAATCCAGAAATCCAATTATGAATTCTACATCGCGGAGAACTGACCTGAGACCATTGTATCGCTTTGTGTACCCGTCGCATGGAGGAGAACCGTACTGTGTATACGCAGCCATAGATCAGACTCATAAGAGCACATATCAAGGACATTAGAATCGATGTCCTAACAACGACGTCTGAGAGTGCTTCACTGATTTGAAGAGTGCCGACAATGGTCCTACACGTTGTTAGTCGAACGTTGCAGAGAGTGTTGGGATTACTCACGAAAGCAGGAGAATGCTAACAAGGTTGGTCGTTTTCCATTCCCTAATGGACAAATCGATGAAGCTCTCCCAAAGAACTTTAATATGGCTAAGTTCAATTTCATCGGCTGGTACAAAGAATGCCGCAGGGCTGAGAGGCTGACCCTCTTGCCTCGCTTGATCTTCTGCTAGCCTTCGAATCATCCTATCCATCAAGTCATCCGTACTTAGGATGACTTCCTTGAATATTCGATGTACCCTATTGCGATAGAAGACAGGGAACCCGATGAAGATAACGTGATAAACCCCCCGAAAAAAAGTCATAATCATCGTTGAACTATTTATCTTGACATACTGAAGAGTTTTGCCTGAGATGACGGTGGAAGATCGGTGGATGGGTAGTAGCGTCGTCGAATTATGGGCTGCGAGCTGAGATGGAATCTGGTTGCAGGTAGCAAATTCCAACCTCGGACCATCCAGATGGGCCGAAGGGTAAATGGGCTGAAGGATTGGAAGAGACCTCGCGGTCGAGCTCAAGTTTGTGATAGTGTCCGCCATCCCTGTTCTCGAATTTATCGACGATGGCCTGCTGATGGACACAGTCCCATGTGTCTTTGATTCCTGACCATATGACTCTACAATTTACTTTGAGTATTGACTGGTTGTAAATTTAGAGGCAGGAATTACCTGTTGTCGTAGCCAAAGAGATGTGGTCAGCCCGGGACATCGATAAGGCCTCTTCAGAGAGGCGATATATCCGAGTTGCAATATTGGCGCCTTTGCCAGATACAATAAATGTCAAGAGCCCTCGCAAGTGCAGCTAAACGAACCATAGAGAGATTTTGGGTTCAGAATTTCTTCACTGTAAGAGTATGAGGACGCTGAGGCAGCCGCTACAGAGGTTTCCATGATCATGAAGGTCCAAGAAGAGCGTCAGAGTGTGGCTGTTTTCTTGGCTGGGTAGATTATCTGTGACATCAAGAATTCGAGGCCATGTGCTGATTAGGAAGATGGTCTATAGACGTTCAAATGCCTAGCGATGTCAATGAGTGGAGGTAAAGCGTGATTCACCATCTGGTGTGGGCGCAATCCAGGACCCACAAAAAATAGAAGTGGGTAGATTAGGGTCTTTCATCGCCTCCCGGATCATCACATTTCTTCAATCATAACTGCCTAATGCTCAAACTTGGGCTTAGAAGGCTCACGTACATTTAAAAGATGGGACTTGGTAATCAGAGTTCTGAGTGTAAGGAAGGTTTGATGGATAATATACTTATCAGGTTGAAGGCGATTCGGTTCACAAGCCACAAGATGTACCGGACATGTCCAAACCTTCTCACTAATCAACCCACTATCCGATCCATTGTGGCGACATTGAATCGTATTTCGTCATCTCTGCGACTATCTTCGCAACAGAACCTCGACCTACTTCTTAACATTCATTCTTCAGGGTCGCACCAGCGGTATCCATAAGGTCAGCTCCAAGGTTGTGGCAACCACAGCATTCGATTGACGTGCACTCTCGTTCTTAGAATATGGACAGGTGTAGTAGCACTGACTTACATCCAAAACGCGACGCTACAATAAATGAGTCGTAGGTACTCTCTTCTTGCTGCCAGGTGTCAGTTCAGCCGCAGAAGTGCTGTCAAGGTATAATGAAAGTTCCCAAAGGTGGTAAACTTTTGTCACCTTGCTTTGGAGCTTATCAGCATCGTCTTGCTTTTGTGTTGACCACATCCGATTCGTTCATCGCGTATAAAGATCGAGTTTCATCTTCGGTATCCGTGTCGCATGTCTGCTGTTGGTGGCGTGCAGCAGCACTCCAAAATCCTGACATCTGGGCCAACATTCTATTTCTCCACATCAATTGGGCCCCAGAGATTCTTGCACGTTTGAAGTCATTGTACTGGAGACCAGCGTAAGATTCGCCAACCTGGATTCAAACGAGATAATGTGCTACAGAAGCCTCGGGGTATCCCTTTTTACGGCAACCTTGCGACAATATACCCACATCCGAAGGTTGTCCAATGCCTTACACACAGACCTCATAGGAAGCTCAACAGAGGTGTATAATGAGCTCATAGATCTCGTCAAACAGCAAACTCCTCTGCTTGAGGAACTAGCTGTTGATAGTGTTACTAGTTTCATGTACCTTTTCGATCGACTCCTGTCGTACCTCCGCCTCCTCCGCCACCTTGATCTTCGGTTCTCAAACCATATTTTTGCGAATTAGTGGGCAGTTCGAATGAACACTCTCCGTCATCACTCGACTAGGGTGACTGGGAGACTGACGCTGATACCGCAGGTTGACTTCATTGTGCCCCAACACGCCAGAGCCTAGGTCTAGTCCGAGAGCTCAAGCTCTTTTCAACTGATGCGCAAGAACGCCCCCAAATCTTCGATATTTTCGTCTCACCGATACCTTCTCCAATTGCGCTGAGCTTATTTCTTATCTCTACTTTGACTTTACCCAAATCTAACAATTCAAATCCACGGATATTGTACAGGATTTGAGGACGGTCCGTTACATGTATTGCAGGGACTTTGAGAAGTCGACGATATGCAGAGTGTAGTGGTGGATAACATGGAATCCTGAATTCAAGATCTGCTCTGACTGAAGTTGATGCGCCTCATTTGGAATCGTCCGCCAAAATCGACATCAAGTTAGCACGATCAAGCGTCATGGCCACGTGGCTATGAAGATATGCGGAGTCTACTCGCTCCATCCAATGGACGCCTGGGGTTTGCTGGCACTATATTGTCCCACTTCCCTATTAATAACATCGGCCGAGTTTTACAAGCTCGAGAATCTCACTTGTCTTGGTGTCAGCGACAACTTCTGTGTGGGAAAGCCACACCAGGGCTTCCCTTCAAAGCTTTGTAATTTCTAACAACCTATTCGCACACATTTGGGACAAGCATCCATGCCCCGCCAGGTGGCCAGACTCCTAAAATCACAATCAACTCTTAGCAAGGGAGACCACTGGACATCAACTTTGCGTCTTGAATACAACTGTTGCAACCTACATCATATGGTTGCAAGGGACCTTTGGACCTGGGCTGAGCTTCTTATTCTCCTCATCTGAAAATCTACTTGACTCAAGGAAAATCATTTTGAAGTTGTCTTGGACCCGCTTTTGCGTAATCCAAACACATTCGTGCACTGGTGAGTCAGGCCCTTATCTTCAAGCGCATACGTTGTCATACTGTTCGAGCATCAAGCCCATCCGAACAATAAGTAAATCTCAACAATTCGTCTTATACTTACATATCGAGCCTTTTAAATTGTTCATCGTGCATCTCATTTCGATGGAAGCGGCGCATGACAACATTTGCAACCCCCATATAATCCACGGGACCACTTGTAATCATTCCCTGGTATCAAACATTGATCGACGGCCTCGGAACGGAGCCCCCTTGCTCATCGCCATTGGCACCGCTTCTTCCCTTCCTCCCGTCCTTCATCGTTATATCCACGATCAAGACACTTCCAGGACGTCATAGCTCCATAGCCTTTAATAAGCCACTACACAATCATACATCTCGGTTCTCAACCTATAAAGCAATCGCCTTCCCGCACAACTGCAAAAAGTTAGACGTCAAACGTTTGCCACCTCCAACATGGTCTGGACCATTCGTCTACAAACCCCCGACTACGCCGACGACCTATAACGGTTTCCACTTCGAGCGGACCCCATATTACCCACATACGCCTAATAGGCCCACTACGCCCTTATGTTCCCGAATCGATATACTTTCCACCATCCCCATACTCACACTCACCTTCTCAACCTCCTTCACCTTCTCTGAGGAATCTACCACCGCCAGAAGGCCCAGATCTATATCCCTTCCCAAAATCAAGATACGCTTACGACTCGAGCTACGACGGACAATGGGAGTCCATACGCGAGCGTCGCCCATCATGGCACG